TATATATATATATTTATTATTATTTTTTTATTTTTTTATTTTTTTATTTTTTTATTTTTTAAAAGAAAAAATTGAAATTTGAACCTTAAATCATAAGTCTTTTAAGACTTTAGCCCTAACCATTCAAAGTGAAAAAAGACTGACATTTGAACATCTTGAAATGAAACCCTCTCAGCCATAACTTTTTGTATGAAGCCTCTTCTTAACATGAGAAATTGAAGCAAGCATGACGACAATCAATCCTAACTCCACCATCCATTGTATTGGAGTCCGATAAAAGTTACATAAGATTCAAACTATGACACTCTTAATTGTCTATTTGTAATTTTGTATTGAAAATTTCATAAGAAGTTTCTATGAATCTATTTAAGTGAAAATTATCTAGTTTTTGAAAACTTGAAAATTGTGAAGCCATACGAATTATTAAGCAATCATATTATTTATAATTTTAGATATTTGGTATGCATTATTTTACCTATTTAATATTTCAAAAGAATTAAAATAACATCAAAATTTTTATTTTTATTTAAGTCTAGGTTTATAAAACTTGAACTCGATCTTATAACCTAATCATGCTTTACGCCTTTTGGAATACCAAGTAAAAAATTTAACATCCTCCAAATCATGATCATTTTTGACAGATGATTCCATTCACAGTATTTTTGTTTTTTTATTAGAATAATTTAAAAGGTGTTTGACATATGCGTAAAGTAACTAAGACAAAAAGGAAATCAATAATCTAATCCTAATAGATATAGGAATCATACTGATTAAATAATACTAAAGTCCTACAAACACTAGAAATATTAGTATACAATTTTCCTACATCAAAATTAATAAATATGAGCAGGTCTCTTGCTGCGGTCGTGGATTCATTTCCCACACTTAAAAATGTCAAGGATTTGAGACTGGTGTGAAGCAAAATATTAATGAATATTATCGATAAATTATTTATTTATCGATAAATGACAAACCTATCTAAACTATTAATTTTTCCTATTATCTTATATAAGTTTAATATGTATCAAATTTCTAATTATCAAACTAGAATTTTGCTTAATATTATCGATAAATGACTAACCTATCTACACTATTATTTTTTCCTATTATCTTATATAAGTTTAATATGTATCAAATTTGAACAAAAAATAAAATAAAAATTCAACGTTCACATGAAATTATTAGAACTCTCAGAACCAGGTTGTTGTGAACATTTATATATAAGGCCTACTGAAAAGAACTTTATCTACAAATTGCAGCAGAATTCATATTTGTTCATGAATGAATATGATTGAAGCTCGAGTAGAAGCACGACGAAAACTCACCAAATCAATTAGCATATTCAATCTTCCCTCTGTCAGATATGAACTAGGAGCAATACTCATTGTTTCAAGGCTCGGTGAGTGTTCGAGTAAAAATTTGATCAATTTCATTTCGTGTGGCACTCCAGATACGTCGGTCATCTTTATGGTTTTCAATCGACCCATAGTGCAATCAATAAAGCATCTTTTCTCCCAGAAATCCAAACCAGGAGCTTGTTGTGTTGCAGCTGATGAATTGAAGGAACCCTACAGGAAAAAAAAGTCTTTAAACATAAATAAGGACCCAGGATTATGGTTCAGTGGGGACGGGACAGAATTATGTAGAAAATAATTGAGTTTTGGTTAAAAATTATGGGGCAATTGCACCCACTGGACCCTTAATGGGTCTGTCTCTGCCGAGAGGGTCTATTTGCAATTTGGCCAAGCTCAATGGAGGTGGATGCAATTAACCTAACACGGGTAACTGGCAAAATGACAAGCAAATGCATGCCATCAAGTAACATGACAAACTTTGAAATGCAAACTTTTAACTTACCGAGATTTGCAGCTCTTGTAAATTTGGTGAGTTCACGATCAGCTGAAGGACAACTAGAACCTCTTTCATGTCATCAAAGCTAACTTGATACAATTCTATGAACTTTAATTGGTGATATGTAATTGGAATGCATCCTTCGTGATTACCAATACTCAAATACTGAAACACGAGAGGTTAATGAGTTCAAGACAAAAAAATATTTTCACATTTTAAAACAGCTACGTATAATCAAGAACATCCCAAGTAGTTTCTATACAAAGGCAAAAGATAACCATATCTAGTTATTAATCTTAAAAGTGGAGATGGATACCTTTGTGAAGTATATATGTCCAATAAGCTTCTCAAGCTGGGGAACACCACCGAGAAACTTGTTGAAATTGTAGCTTGAGCTTTGTTCGAAATGCTCTGCTATGTCATCTGCTATGTCATCAGTCATATACATAGCAACAGATATGAATACCAAAAGTGGAGTGTTCACAAGAGATATATCCTTAAATTCACCTTCCAGAATCAAGTACTTGAGATTTGGAGCACTGACAGTCAATTCTAAACTATCGAAGTAAGATAATGTTAGACTCTCAAGAAGAGGACAGCTTGCAATGAGGCATTCGATATCATCTGGGGGAATCAGAACTTGTTGAAGATTGAGGTACTTCAAGCGAAAGAAACCTTTAAAACACGGTGGAGGGTCCAATTCACAACGAACAAGCTCCAAATGAGTCAAATTTTTACAAGAGAAAAGAAAAGATGGCGCCCTAAACCACTCACCTTCTCCTAATTCAAGAACCAACTCTTTAATATCTTTCCGCGAAAGGAAAAGTAGCCACTGATCTATATCGTACGAGAACTGCAAGTACGAGGTAGATAGAGAGAACTTGTGAATCGGTCCATCATGAAGAAACAAACACCGGGTAATAAAATTAGAAAGATTGTTCTCAACAATTGCTCTGTCATTACAAAGGGAAACACAGTTGTCATCAAATGCAAGCTGCGTTAGTGTGGCCCATTTGTACCTCCATCTGCTTGATAAAATGCTAGTTCTCACGGCATCCCTTATCGGAAGCTTTATGAGGATGGTTTCTATAATGCTTTGAGGCAGATCACTAATCAAATCTTGCTCAAAATCCATTATCATTATTCAACAGAATAAATCCAAGCTATGAACTGTGAAGAGAATAGCTATCCTGCAAATAAGAAATTATAATTCATATCCAATATGCTCATTTTGCAATATGACTCATGAAAGTTTCCCTCAACCACCCTATATTAGACAACAATTTTCTCGAGAAATTCACACTTGAACTTTCGATTTTCATCATGAAAGGAGTCCACTTCTTGGTGCCTGTGATAACCACAGATTATACATCCTTGCCAATCTAAACTATGATTATTCATTGATTCATATTATTTAGGATAAACATCATATATATGATATTCTAATTACCCTAATTTTCCTCAACCTCCTCAACAATCCAATATACTAATCACGGCTTTCTTGCACCATTGGCTTACAGTTTTCCAATGGATCAAAGCAATTTTCTCAAAAAAAAAAAAAAAAAAAAAAAAAAAAAAAAAAAAAAAAAAAAAAAAAAAAAAAACGTTAAAATAATAGCAATAGTAAAAGATTAAGAAAAATAAAAAGGGGATCTTGACAAGACGATTAAAATTGATAAGAGATCAGAACAGAAATCATTATAATTTTCAATATAGAAACTAAAGAAAAATTGTAAATTACAGAAAAAAACTAGGAATCACCAGAGATTAGAAGAGTGAATGACCAGAAAAACTAAAGAAAAATTGTAAATTGATAAGGGATCAGAACAGAAAGCATTATAATTCGATTTCTTGCAATTCTTACCCATTAGATTTCCATTTACTTCTCAAATACTCTTGTTCGCGGAAACGTACTTGAGAACGCCGTCTACAGTGTATCTATGAGGAAATAAAAAATAAACCCTTGTTTGTGAGCCGTTATTTTTATAAAAATATATTTTTAGATAGTGTAATAATGTAAAATATGTGTTTAAATAATAATAATTTTTTTTAAATTTTGTGTGATATTATTTTATTAAAAAATATATGATTAAAATGATGTCAAATCATTGTTTAAAAATATATTTCTTTTCTAAATAATGTGGATCAAATCTGGCCTAAGATGTCAAAAGAAAAAAACCTCACAAACCTGATAGTTTGGGGTGGGCCCTATACGGGAAACAAGTCTTCGCCCTGTCTCATTTAATAATTTTTTTTTAAATTCAATACATTAAATGAAAATTTTTATAAAATTTTATTAATTCTAATGGAAGATGACAATTAAGTTTCCGTTTGAACCCCATTATTCCCCATTACATTAAATTAAATTTTTCTCTCTCCTACTTTTAACCACACAATTTTCACTAAAATAATTTTACACGTAAATCAAAATCTTTTCTTTTCAACCACTCATTTTTAAAAAAAAACACTATTCAAAACATTATAATCTCCAAGAAATGGGGCTCAAACGAGGGCTAAAATTATTTAAGGAATATGATGAATAATAAAAATTTTGTAAAATGAGGGCTATAAAATAAATTATCAAAAACTAAAAAAAAATTAAATGGGTACTAAATGGGGCAAGGGCCTCTTCCCCTCGTTGAACGGGTGACGGGGCAAGGGTTTGTCTCGACCCAAACCCTCTCCGTTTCCATCCTAGCATAGCTTTAAAGTAATTTTTTCAAAATTCTATTATTATTATTATTATTCCTATTTTTATTTATTCATTTATTATTATTATTATTTTGCATTTTGACCTTTTCATGAATGAAACTCAAATCCAAGTCTGTAACCTGATAAAATTTTGCTCAAAAAAAAAACACTATTCAAAACATTATAATCTCCAAGAAATGGGGCTCAAACGGGGGCTAAAATTATTTAAGGAATATGATGAATAATAAAAATTTTGTAAAATGAGGGCTATAAAATAAATTATCAAAAACTAAAAAAAAATTAAATGGGTACTAAATGGGGCAAGGGCCTCTTCCCCTCGTTGAACAGGTGACGGGGCAAGGGTTTGTCTCGACCCAAACCCTCTCCGTTTCCATCCTAGCATAGCTTTAAAGTAATTTTTTCAAAATTCTATTATTATTATTATTATTCCTATTTTTATTTATTCATTTATTATTATTATTATTTTGCATTTTGACCTTTTCATGAATGAAACTCAAATCCAAGTCTGTAACCTGATAAAATTTTGCTCGTTATTTGCGTTAGAACTTGATCTCTAATAATTTGAAAATTATAAATGATTTACAAGTAATATAGAAATATAAATATATTCTGTGTGTTAAACATAAGAGATGCTCAAATAGTACATGAATGTTTAAGCTCGCAATAGCTAGGTAATTACAATATGTGACCTAATACGAATTATGTTGAGTCGAACATTTAAATTTCGTAGTCAGAATTCATGCGTATGATAACTTTATAAACGACTCTCCTTCATCGGTCACTCTCCTAGTGTCTTTTCTTTTCTTGAAAAATAAGTTCACAATTTCCCTCTTCTCACTCTTGATTTATTTATTCATGAACTTATTATTGTTCTCTGCTCTCCTTCTCAAGTCTTCTACACAATCAATTTCACCATTTTAGATTTATCGTTAGTATTAGAGTTTGGCTCGTCCATGTCGTTGGTCAATCAAATAAATGAACTTTTAAAGTTTTAGCTTTGAAATGCGAAACATGCTATAAAATCCCTAATTAATTATAAGTAATCAAATATAGCAAATAAAATAAATAAATAAAAATAAAAAAGAATAAAAGCAAGTATACCCTTAACACATATAAAAATACTGAAGCAACCCTAATAGCAAAGCAATTGCCAGATCACAATAGCACGAATATTGACAACATCAGAACGGTTAAATGAAGTTTTCCCTATAAATTTAAGTCGTTAAACACAAAATTTTCTACCACTCTATTTGATTTGTATCAGACCCAAAGCCTCTTTTCCATTGAACCATTCAACTTTATACATTGCTTATGTTAAGAACGATTTTTATCATAGTTTTTTATATTATCAAATTAACTCGATATATGAGTATTATTTATAAGTCAACCATCTAGATTAGCTATACATGATATTTCCTTATTATTTAATGGTCTAAACCTCGTTGATATTGCCAAGTATGCTAAAACTTTTTACTGCACAAAATTGAATGGAATACATTGTTATAACAATCCATGGAATCAAACATCAAACATCAAATTTAATAATAATAATTATAACTTTTTTTTTTCTTTTTTGTGGTAAAAAGCATGTGATCTAGCTAGATTTATATCGGTTCCATATTATGTTTGCATTTGGCGATGATCGATTCTCTTGCAATTCCAAAGCCTTCGATTGCATCAATGTGACATTTCTCTTCAATCATGATCTTATCAAGGGATGGAGACTGAGCAAGTAGAAGCTTCAGCAATATGAGTTCCGCGACAGGATTCTTGTACATCTTCAAAATCTTAAGCTTGTTGAGGTTTTGTTTCATGAAGTTTGGAGCCTTCAAATAATTAAGAACTCCCTCAACTTCACAAGTTATAATTCCTGATGAACCTTGCAAAAGAAGCATTTGACATATGAAAATCCCAATTGGGAAATATACATACATATCAAAATGCAAAGATTATATTGGGGCAACTTTGAAGCAGGCAAATAGCAATAGAAATATGATCCAAATCTTTAAAATCCAAGTCATTGAGTATGAAATGTTCAAGGAACACTGCTGGTCTTGGAAGTACCGTTGGTCTGAGACCTATTGCAAAAAACTTCAAACAAGAAGATTTCGGGATATATGACTCAAATATTGGAGATATTTAGGACAACTAGTTGGGCTGTGATGCCAGTCTAGTCCAATAATAGGTGATGATGATATGGCCTTCGGCCCAAACTTTATAATTCTTGCCCAATAGCGTCATGTGAGACGGTCCACTACTCAAGACCTGATATTCAGCCCACCTAGTTTGTTGCTCTAGACATTTGGATTAACACCTGATCTACAGTGGATGTTTAGGTGTATAAATAAGTGCCTTTAACCCTAAATCTCTGAGATCTTTTCATATTCATTGTGTCTATGGCTGTCTAAAAACCTCAAGGTTCTTCTGTTCTCTCTGAGTCGTCTTCTCTGTGTGAGTTGATTTCCTCTCTCTGTGAGAATCAAATAGTGTGGTTTTCTTTGTGTGGGTAAAACCTATAGACGGTTGTTGTGTCCATTGTGGTCCATTGAAGCAACTTCTGGTTGGGGACTTGTGTGGGTTCTGAGTGAGTTAGGGCCTCTGTGATGATACAGACAGGTACAAGAGTTTGAGCCTGAACTGGTCACATCCTTGGTGTTCAGTGGTATTCGGTGTATTGATTTTGTAGTGTAAACATCAGATCTGTAATATTCTTGAAAGAGTTGTTAGTAACAGTGGTATCAGAGCACGTTTCATTTGTTTTCTGGGTTTCAATCGAGTTTTGGATTGATTGAAATTTTCTAAAACCCTAGATTTGGATTTGTTTCGATCTAAGGGTTACTCTTACGAATATGCTTATTTGGGGGTAAAATCTAAAAGTTCTGGGTGAATCTTGGGTTTGATTGAAGGTTGGACTTTAAAACGTATTATCCTTAGTGGATTAATCCCTGTACTGGAACTTCGATTCTTCTACTATTGGAATAAGGGGCTTTATTTGTTGGCTTGATTGGTGGTTAACCCACTGGTTTGCAATCAACAATACTTATAGCATTCTTTCATTATTTTTTGTGTTAGGATATATTTGATACATTTCTTGATTGCTTTCCTCACGTTATACTCATTTATGTGGTGTAACTATAATTCTTGGGATCTTTGTCACCTACTCGAGAAAGAAGGAGAAGAAGTAGAATACATCAATGACGCCTAGATCATGAAAGGTGCATACCATCTGCCCTATAATCCTCCTTCGTCTTCCCGCGCACCTATCTTGGGGGGGGGTCGATACGGTTGGGTATTGTGCTTTCTTGAGATGTTTCAAATTGAGTCTTGACCTGATAACACGATTCTCACGGAATCCTTGTGAATTTGATCATCTTGTGTGACAATCGTGATTAGTCTGTTATTCCTTTGATCTTTGGGATTGTGTCTTTACTGCAATATATATAACTGTGATATTCTAATATTGTTGCTGCATTTTTATGTAATCTTTAATTCCTCTAATTTTTTGTGAAGGTCAAAACACTAGTATTGTTCAAAAGTCGATTAGCTGTCTAGTTTTTTAAATTTTTTGAAATACTGTGTGTTATTTCTTGATTAAAAATGACAAGTATTTCTTTTGAACTTGGTGTTTTTTATGGAAAATGAGATTTTTTCATTTGGCAACAAAAAATGAAAGGTCTTTTAGTCCAACAAAAAGTTCTCTAAAGTTGAAGCTATGACAACTGATCAAAGGAATGAAGCTGATGAACTTGTATATACCTCTATCATTTTGCATTTGCCCGATCAAGTTTTGAGAAAAGTTGGTAAACATAATGATGCCAAAAAATTGTGGGAAGAGTTAGAGAAGCTTTATTTGGTAAAAT